TTGACTGATGGGTTTTCAGACCTGGAAAAGGTCTTTCATAAGTGTGGGGAAAGAATCAACTGTTTACAAGAAATCAAGGGATAAAGGCTGGCTCTCAATAATGGTCTCACAATGTGGGCTAGGGAGCTAAGCAACTGAGAAGTTTCAGACACTTATCGTGGTTGGCTTTGTCAAAATCAAATTATATGTATATAAAAGTATATGTATAAAGTAAAAATTAAAAACATATTTTATATAAAATATATCCATACCTACTTTTTATATACAAATATGATATAAAAATACTATGTATAAGAAATAAGGTGCAAGAACTCCTTACCAGTTATACCCAGAAACATCGGAAGGAGAGAGGACCCAAAGAAATTCTAATAAAATGATGAACTGCTGGAGGGGCTTTAAAATGTAAAATTTTCAGTGTGAAAGGTTGAAAGTTGAGAAAGTTCAATTAAAGTTATCAAAATGATATCCCTATATTAAACAAACACTTGTTGCTCAAATAAATTCTGTGCTTGTGGAGTCAGGAGGGGCATCTGAAAGAACTATTTTATATAATATATACTTATCTATGTTTTTTTTAATCCAAGAAGTGGTACTAGCTACAAATATAAAAACTTTTAAAAACCCTCATCAAAGGTATATCCATAGTGAGTTATTGGATAGATCCACAATGGGGACATCTCTCTAATCTTTATATTAGTCAGATATCCCTTATTCTGTCAGAATAATGCAGAGAATAATGGTTCTAAGCTAGGAATGTGATCCTTTCCTATAAAGAGCTCATCTTTAAAGCGAAATGTCTCCCGCAGACACCCTCATTGTGCAAGAATTAGGGCTGATATTTATGCTGGCCCAAACTTCATCCAAGATTTAGTATGCAAGAGGATGGGGATATTATTACCTTTGGTGTTTGGACCCAGGACTCTGTAGAGTTTCTTAAGTATTTTCCAGAATACTGATAGGAATTGAAATTTTTCTACAGGTAATAACTCAAAGCACTGAATACCACTGCAACATGCAGTTCATTCATCTGAAATAAACAGAGGAAGAGTGGGCTCTGAAACTGCTTAGTTCGTATCTTGGTCCCACCACATACTAACTTTGTGACCTCAAGCAGCTTTATTGATTTGTTTCCCCAGCTAAAAATGAAACAATGTGAGTAAAGCATTTACTAACGTCTGGCCCTTAGTAAGCAGTTAACAATTACATAATACTGTTAATAAATCCTTTCCTCTACTCCTAAAGATTGCCAGTAATAAGACTTTGACTGTTAACAACTTTACAATCACTGGATATTAACGAAAGAGGCTACTTCTGTTCTGAGTATAGGAGTGCAGAGCTTTTCTAAGTGCTTCTATCTGATTGCTCCATCCTCACCATGCCCCATGGTGACGATTCCTCCATCCTCACCATGCCCATGAGATTTCTCAATCCCAGAGCCCTGCTCAGCACCCTTGTTTTTTTGTTTGCTTTTGTTTTTTTTCAAAAGGGGCCCATCTTCCTTCCCTTCACAGTCCCTTTCTATTACACTCTCTGGAACCCTTTTGTGATTGTCAGGTTACTTTTTCATCCAAAGCCCATGTTTAAGCTCATTTTACTTTTCACTGCTTTAGAAATTTGATTCTCCCCCAACCTCTCCAGGTGCTTTTTGCCTTAAACGCTCAATATTTTGTTTACCTTCAATCAATCAGAAAACAGAGGCTAGTCAATCTTATTCTCATCCTTAATGTTATTTCTAAGCTGCTGCTTCATGATTCATTTGAGTTTTATACCAGTTGTTCTACCTGGCTATTGTATTACTGGCTGCCATTACTTCTCTTGTGGACTTGCTTCACTTTCATACTCTTTTCTTTCCATCCTGCCTCCTGTTATTGATGACTTAAAAATCCACATAGATGAACTGCTTCAAGGGACCCTGATTTCCTAGGTACTGTCATTGTCACACCACATCTTTTATAAAGATGTACTCCTGACTTCATCTCAAGGCATTTTCTGTTCACCGCACTCCCCAATTCCATATCTAACACGTCATGTCCTCCACTTGCCCCTCAGGACCTTCAACTTCGCTGCGTGGCCAATTTAGTTCCAGATAGTAACCTTATATCTTCTCCTTTTCTAGGACTAGTTTGACCCCCTTTGATGCCCACCTGGAAACCCCATGCCACTCTGCCCTTTTTTTTGGTTCTACAACTGTATTTAAGCACAAGAAACCACCAGAACAAAACCCCATTTATTTTTAAGTAAGTTACGAACTGTATTCTTCTACGTAATAGGCATATTCTATTGTTCTGGGTCTTTGTTTATGGTTCCTTTATAATATTACTTAAGAGAGTTATAGGCAAATGAAGGAACCTGTGTGCACTGAGAGAACATGTTAAGCAGAGGCTGAACTGGAGAGACTGCAAGTAACAGCATGGAGAGTAGACAGCAAGTTTAAAATAAGGATTACATTCCATCGAGCAGTCAGATTAAAGAGAGAGGCTCTGACATTATGAGGAGCAATTTCAGTTTGGAAAACATGCTTGTGAAATCAGATTAGATGACAAGTATGGACAGCATCAGTTTGGTAAAGAGATGTTCTCATGAAGGCTCTTGTTACTAAGTCAAGTCCCCTCCAAAGAGACGAATTTACATGAGAGAAATTTGAGACAGGGAAACCTTAGGTAGAGAATAGGCCTCAAATACTTACAGCTACAGAGCTCTCAGGGCTCAGTTCTAGGATCCTTGTTCATTTCCCAGACATAAAAAAAATTAGGTTTCCAATCCCAGCTGCCTCAATGCCTGGTGCACAACTCCAGTGTTGGTCTTATGAAAAAGCCTAAGCAGTCTTCAACTTGTGAATGAGTTGTTTTTTAAATGTTCATTTGCTTTCCTATGTTGTGAACTCAGAAAGTTTTCCCACAGTCAACGTAAATCTAATCCCAAAAGCCAATGTGACACATAATATGCCTAAGTTATAGCACTAACACCATTATCATTTTCATGGGAAAATGTGCTCACAATTACAATTTAGAAAGCTAGGAACATATATATTTCTATAGGACTAGGGACTCTACTAGTTCCAAGCCAGTGATATTCCTATGTCCTATATAAGGATTACGGACAGAGGGGCAAGAGACTAGGGCACTAGGGAAATGGGGGTAGAGTATATTATAGGAGTACAGAGACGGGATAAAGACAGGGCTGGGCAGAAAGGTAGTTAGGAATAGTTAAAGAATGGTGATTACCCTTCTTTTTCCTCTCCTTCCTCTTTAGTCACTATCCTACCACTTCAAACCCACTGACCAGCTAGAGGTGAAGGGAGATGAGGGGACTGAAGTTGTGTGGGGTGAGGTGGGAAGGCAGTCCTAGAAATTGTGGAGTTTGCTGCAGCAACGTAGAAAGGGAAATAAAAGGATATCTCAGTAGAGATCAAATATGACTTCTGTAAATAAAAAGATAAACAGACCAGGAGCTGTGTGTACTTCTTTGTGGTTTGCCTGCTATCCACTACAATGATCATCACAGGTTCTCATCAAAAACAGAATTGTTTACTCAGTAATATATGGGTAATGTCAACCAGTTTTTGGTTGATTTGTTGTTTTCTGAAGCCCCAAGGCAAAGAATCACTAATCTTTGGCTCTTTTATGTGCTCAAGAAGGTATACAAACCAAAAAATTATAAGCCAGTTCTCTCAAGAAATTATTAGGGGATTCAGAACACAATGGTCACTACAGAGGTGGGAAAAAAGGGAAGCGTTAAACAGGGAAGAACACCAGCACCCCGCCCCTAAAACACACATACACACAAGCCTTGCACTCAGAAGAACCTTGGGAGCCTTGGAATATAGGTCAGTCTTTTTTGAAACATTTAAATTTGAAGGGACAGAAAGGCCATCTTGAAGACCTAGTTTTTAGGCATGATGGTGGTCTAATTCCCTGTTCATTGTGAAGACCTGGTGGCTCATGTCCCCTAAAGGGCTTTCCTCATGCTAAAAATCTGCAGCGGCCTGTGTTCACGCTTCCTCAATTTACTGGCAACCACGAAGGTAGCAGTGATTCAGCGCAACGTTTCTCAAAATTTAGAGTACATCAGGTGACTGTGGAGCTATAAAAATGAAGATTCTCAATCCCCATCTCAGACCTAATGAAGCACAGTATCTGTGACTGGGACTCAGGTATGTTAAACAAGCTCCACAGGTGATTCTGATGTTCACTGATGTTGAGGAATCACTAGTGTAACGAACAGGACTTGAAGTCACAAAACTGCACTTACGCTGCTGGTCTTTTCCTTTGTGTGATATTGTAGCTATGTCACCATCTCCATAAGCAAGAGTATCCTCATTTTTAAAATGGAGAATAATTTTAATTTATAGAAACATTTTAGGAATTCAATGAGAAAAGTGCTTTGTAAGTGTCAAAGTATTAGGTGAAATTATTGGCATTCTAACCCTCCCAGAGTCTGTCCTCAAGCTGTTTCCAACATAGTGCCATCAACTGCCCAGTCTGAATGAACTCTACTTTAGGCTGGCTAGTCTTGTCATTGATGCTTCCAAACTACATGCACTCTGCTTACATTTGTTCTACCCTAAATGTTTTCTCCCTTTTGCCTTCCAAATATCCCCATCAAAACTTTATCTTAAATAAAGTCTTTCCTGACCACTTCAGGTAACAGTGATCTGTCCTTCAGAATTTATAGCCTGCCAAGTACCACTTAATTCTACACTACTTTGAGCATCAATTCTATTGTCCTATAGTCTTGACTAAACAGTGGACTTTATATATCCCAAACTAGGTTGTAAACTCTTTGAGAAAAGGAATCTGGTGTTATGCTCCTTGTTCTCCACAGCACCTAATGAAATGGGCAGCAGAGTGTATTTTTTATGAAATATCCGAAGTTACCTTATAGCAATAGTGACTAATATTTTGTCCTAAATCATCTCAAAGCTAGTATTTCTCTCCAGCCTGCACTCTGTGAGACAGCTTCCCTGCAGTCTTCACACAGAACCAGATTTTTCTGCTTTGTGGGTAGTCTGATGTTGAGTAAGAGCTGAGTTCTGCCTAAACGACTCCCCACACTCTTTACATTTATAGGGACCACCTCTATTATGGATTCTCTGGTGTTTACTAAGATCTGACCTCTGTCTGAAGGCTTTGCCACATTCGTCACATTGGTAGGGTTTCTCCCCAGTGTGGATTCTCTGATGCTGAATGAGACTGGTGATTCCTCGGAAGGCATTCCCACACTCATCGCATTTGTAGGGCCTCTCTCCGGTGTGGATTCTCTGATGTTCCGTGAGGACTGATCTTTGAGTGAAGGCCTTTCCACACTTATCACATTTATAGGGTCTCTCTCCAGTGTGAATTCGTTGATGTTCTATAAGACTTGTCCTCTGAATAAAGGCTTTTCCACATACATCACATTTGTAGGGTTTCTCCCCAGTGTGGATTCTCTGATGCTGAATAAGGCCACTCTGACTGAAGGACTTCCCACATTCCTTACACTGATAGCATTTTTCTTTGTGGTGGATCTCCTGATGGGAAACAAGGGAGGAGTTATAAACAAAGGCCTTTCCACACTCGCTGCACTCATAGGGCTTTGCCCCAGTATGGACTCCTTGATGCTGGGTAAGAATTGAACGCCGACTAAAACTTTTATTACACTGAGTACAATGATAAGGTTTGTCTCTTGTGTGGATTTTGAGATGGTGAAAGAGACCTGCTTTCCGGCTAAAGGCTTTGCCACATTCATTACAGTGGTAGTGTCTCTCTCCTGTGTGAAGTCTCTGATGTTGATTAAGAGCTGACCACCGGCCAAAGGCTTTGCCACACTCATTACATTTATATGGTTTCTCTCCCGTGTGTATTATTTTGTGTCGAATAAGCACAGTTCTCCCACGGAAAGTTTTTCCACATTCTTCGCATTTGTAGGGCCTGTCTCCAGTATGGATCCTCTGATGTTCTACGAAGCATGAGTGTTGACTAAAAGCTCTTCCACAGTCATCACATTCATAAGGCTTTTCTCCTGGACAGACTCTCTGGTGTTCAGAAAGGTCTGAGTTCTCAGTCAAACTTACTCCATTTTCATCACATGTATGTTGTTTATCTTCCCTGGAGTATCCAGAAGACTCTCCTATTTTTTCTTCAGGTTCATAAGTTTTTTCATACCTAGCTGACTGAGATATTTCATTTTCAAATTTGCTAGATATATTCCCATATGGTTTCATTTCTTCAGAAACTTCTTGCTTTAAATTCCTATACTCATTTCCAGTCTCAACATCTGAAACTAAAAATGGATCATAAATGTTAACTAGTTTCTTGTGATAGCAAATAGCAACTTCACTAGGCAACATAAACTTATTCAAGTGAAAAATTACATAAGAACCTAGAGTTCCTGCATGACTATAAAATGGCACTAGAATATACGACAGACTAATAAACAAAGCATTCCAAAAACTGTTAAGGAAAAAAGCAATAACCCAATAGAAAACTTGGCAAAGAAAAAAACTGATAGTTTCCAGGAAAGGAAATACAATAGTTCTTAAACACAAGAAAAGATGCTCCACCTCACAATAAGAGAAAAGCAAATTTAAACAATATTGAGTATAATTTTCACCCATCAGATTTGCCAATAGCTTGATATAACACTATGTTCACGATATGGATATCATACATTGCCAGTGAGAGTGTAAACTGACCCAAGCTTTACAGAGGGCAAGTTGACAATATATATAAACATTACAACTATATATATAAAACCTTTGACCTAGTAATTCCACACAGAAGAATTTATGCTACAGATATACTCACACATACAGTTATTTACCACAGCACTATTTGTTACAGTAAAAGAGCGGGGCCAACTTAAGTGTCATCAGCAGAGGAAGTTAACTGCATGATATATCCATACATTTTAATATTAAACAGCTGTTATGAAATAAAAAATGCAAGCTTCTACAATCTTAGTGATAAAGAGGGGAAAATATATTTGAATATGGAAAACATACATATATGATTAAAAAATCTCTAAAAGGACACACAAGAAACTAGTAACAGTGACAACCTATTTCAGAATAGGGGTAAGGAGACCAAATGGCTAGGGAAATTGAGTGGAATGAAAACTTTTCACTGGGTAACTTTAAATTATTATTTTTTGGACCATGTGAATTTTCACCTATTTAAAAAAATTAAATGAAAAAAAAATAGAGGAAATAGAAATAAGGAAGGTACTGAGTCTTTCACCCCTTCACTAACTTTGAACATTCTACCCCATTTGCTTTATTACTCCTTCTCTTTATAAGAGTAATACACACACACACACACACACACACACACACATATTTTTTCTTTCCCTGCACCACCTGAGAGTTAGCTGCAGACATCATGGAGCAAAGGTTTATTTAAGTGAAGGAGGCAGGAGATAGTCGAATTGGAAGATAATGGTACTGTCTGCTAGGATAAAGGCTAAAAATAGCAGGGAGGTCAGTACAGAGGAAAATAACTGTCAGAAGAACTAAACTAAGTGATTTCAAATAAAATACAGCCAGAATTAAAAAAATATTAATATAAAGAGAAAAAAAGGGCTGTAGAGTGACAAACCAGGCTGCCTGAGGTCTACACATGAGCCGTAGATTTCTAGAGAGACTTTCCTGACTTTAATGATCAGAAACAGCACAAAGTACAAAAGAGCCCCAGTGCCCTGTGTTAGCCCCATCTTCCCCTTCCTCCCAAGGTGGGTCTTTCTTCTTTACCTTGCTTCTTCTGGGCTTCAAGTTCTGGAGATTCACACTTTAGCTGGGCTTTCACAGACGGGAGGGACATTCTGGGTTCTTGTTCTGTTCTTAGAGCTACCATCTCCTGCAAGAACATTTCCTGTTCCTCAGTGTGGACTGAGACCTGAGGTAGATGAGATATAACTGAGATACTCACTCTGATAACATTAAACAGAACAGTATACTATTCATGGCAGTGGCACCCAGCTCTCTGAAACTTGAAATAAACTTCTTTCCAGATATCAGCTTACCATAATCCTACTCATTCTTCAAGGCCAACATAAATGTCACCTCCTCTGAGAAACCTTCCCTTCCCCAGCTGGAAGTAATTTCCCCTATTCTTAACAGTTAAAGAATGTTGACTGCCCCCTTTTACTTCTTTGTCTATGCTCAAAGAAATGGAGAAATGAAAGAGAAAAAAAAAAGAGAGAAGGAAAAGAAGGTAAAAAGAGGCAGAAAGGAGGGGAAAAGAACTTAGGGGGAAATAAAACAGAAGTGAGAAAGACGGAAAGGAAAGGGGAAAAGTAAAGGGAGAAAGTAAAAGTGAAAGTAAAGAAAGGAAGAGAAAAAAGGAAAAGGAGAGAAATCTCTTCCATATTTACCCCAAAAGCTGTTCCTAATAGACTCTGCTCTTCTGAGGTCCCCACCCCACTTCTTTCTGGGAGATGATCTTATTTTCTATTTATCTAAGATCACCATCATCTCAAAAAATCATCTCCCCTTCACTTTATCTATCTCCACTCATACTCTTCTCCTTCCCTTGTATCTTAAAGGAAGATGTCTTTTCTTTTTCAAGGCTTGTATCTACTTTTGCCTTCAATCTCATCCTTTTCCGCTTCCCTTTGACCCCTGCTCCTTCAATTAACTCATTTACTCAGCAATTTCAGCCATTCTGTAGCTTCCACTACTCCACGGGCCCATTTCCTCTTGCACTTAAAAGTAATAGGCTCCCCCAGCATGGTATTATAAAAAGCAGGGATCTGGAATCACTCTAGTTACTTACTCCGATCCTTAGTTTAGTAGCTCTGTCACCATGGGCTAGAAATTACTCTGAGATTATGACACCATGCCATGTAAAGCACTTCGCACAAGGACTTGGCATATGACAGGCCCTCAAGTTACTTCCCCATCCCCTTCAATGGCTAAATTTTGTAAATAAGAAATCACCATACACTGGCTCTATTTCCCTGACATAGTTTCATTTTGTAATCTCTCCCTCAGAATGAGAGCCAAAATCAGCAGGTACTATCTCAGATGTACAGAAAAAGTTGTTTTAATACTTCAAATTTTGGGGAGGGGAAAGCAAAAAAAGGCCAGTATAGTGAACTGTGCCTTCTGTCCCTGGATCTTCAGTTAGGCCTCATAAATCAAGCTGTAAACTCCACTAGCTACTCTCAGCAGCCCTCAAGGGAAAGGACTGGTTGGCAATACAAACTCAACATGACTAAAACCAAATTACTTTTGCCTGCACCTGAAAATCCCATTCTTTCTTTTGGTTCTCTTCCTACCTTCCCGGCCACTCCCCAGTTTCCACTGCTGGTTACTCCCCTGATGATCCCTTTGTGTCTCATGGCTTTAAATACCACCCATATTCTGGCAAGTCCCAATTTTATATTTCTAGCACAGATTTCCCCCCACTGAATTCCAACTTTTTATATCCAGTTGCTTGCTCAAACTTTCCACTTGGATTCTAGTAAGAATCTCAAAATTTACACATCCAAAACCTAACTCTTGATTCCTTTTACCATCTCAGTGAATAACAAATCCATTCTACCTGATGTTCAGACTAAAACCCTTGGCATAATCTTTAACTCACGTTCTCTCACACCCCGCAACCTATACAGAAACAAATCCTCTCAAGCTCTACCTTCAAAAGGTATCCAGAATCCAATCACATCTCACCACTTCCACTGCTACTATCCTAGTCCAGGCCACCAGCATCTCTTGCCTGGATTATTGCTTATAGCCACAGCCTCCTAAACTGGTTTCCCTGCTTCTAACTTTGTCCCCTATGCCTCCCCTAGTCCCACCATGAGCCCCAATGCAGAACTTTTCCAACATAGCAGGGAGTAATTATGTTAAAATTTAAGTCAGATTAAATCTCTCTTCTGCTCAAAACTCTCCAACGACTTTCCATCTCAGAATAAAATCCGAATTCCTTAAAATGGCCTACAAGTCCCTTGTATGGTCTGATCTTCTTATAACTATCTGATTTCATCTCCTCCTTGACAAATACATCTCTACCATGACAAGCACATTCTCACCTTAGGACCTATCCATTTACTACTGATATTTCCCCTGCCTGAACACTCTTATCCTAGATGGCTGCATGGCTTGCTCTTTTAATTCAGATCTCTGTTCTAAATGTCACCCTATCTGAAAATCCTTCCCTGACCAGTCTATTGAAAACTACACAATCTTCATTTCATTCACTATTCCTTTTCTCTGCTTTACTGTTGCTTCTTTAAATATAGAATTTATGACCACCTGATGTATTACACATTTGTTGATTTTTTTGTTTACTGTCTGTCTCCTCTCAGTAGACTAAAATCTATCAACGTAAGAGCAGCAACCCTCTACACTTTGTTCACTGGTGCATTCCTAGTGCCTAGTAAACAATAGCTAGTCAATAAATATCTGCTGAATGAATGAACTTTTCCCAATCCACCTTCGCCTACAATCTTGCACTCTGTTAGAAGTGTCTCCGTTATGCTCGTCTTTCAAGCTTGAAATCCCTACTGCTTAGCCTAGAATAGACTGCTCAGTAAAGAGTTCTCAATTCTTTCTTCCTTCTTTACACCTCTACTCTGTCATCATTTTCAATTAATTCTTACCCAAGACATGCCTCTTCCTTCGCAGTCACACTTTCATGACCCTATTTTAAACTTAGATCTTTTTGCCACATGCTCCTTTCCTCTTCAATCTTTGTACTTCAATGCTAGATTACATTTCCTTTTTATTATTTCACCGTTTATACTCTCTATACCAAGCTTTCTTAGCCTTGATTCTACTGACATGCTGGGTCAAACAATTTTTTGTTGTATAAGGCTGTTCTTTCCACTGTGAGATATCTAGCAGCATCCCTGTCCTTTAGCCACTAGATGCCAGGAGTACCTCCCGCCATTAAGACAACGAAAAATGTTCCATGACATTGCCAAATGCCCTCTGCGGTACAAAATTGTCACTGGGTGAAAACCACTGTCTTTTATCAACGCTAAAACAAAACAAAATAGTCCTATGTAATTTGGTTCTTTTTTATATCTTGGCGTTAGTAAAATTCATTTAGACTCAGAGAGAACAGATTAGGAGCTTCTGTCCTACAAAATAAAATCTAAACTCAAGAGGTTGGTATTCAAGGTCCTGGACTCTCTGTGCTTAACTCTTCTACTCACCTTTCCAACTTAACTGGGCTTTCAACTACTCAAAGAAACATGGGTCCCATGACCTGTCCCTCCCTCCTAACTTTCCACTCTGCTCCTACATCTCATTCCTCTGAGATGGTGACTTTGATTTCTCCATCTTTTAATCCTTTTTTTTTTTTTTTTTTTTTTTTTGCGGTACGCAGGCCTCTCACTGTTGTGGCCTCTCCCGTTGCGGAGCACAGGCTCCGGACGCGCAGGCTCAGGGGCCATCGCTCACGGGCCCAGCCGCTCCGCGGCATGTGGGATCTTCCCGGACCGGGGCACGAACCCGTGTCCCCTGCATCAGCAGGCGGACTCTCAACCACTGTGCCACCAGGGAAGCCCCTATCTTTTAATCCTTTAATGGAGACAAGGCAGTGGATATATCTGCAAAACCTAATTTCTTAATTATTTGTATTGTTCAGCAGAAGTGATGCCCCTTTCAAGAGGCTGCTGCCCACTTTGTTACCATCATCTCTCTAACATTTTCTCTCTGTCCTACAAGTCTTCTGTTTCTAATGTTTCTAGGCAGCATTTCATCAAACAGAATTTTGTAGCTTAATGCAGATATACATGATCCTTCTACAGAAAAGATATAAATAAGTTAGGATTATGTTAACCAATGTTCTACGACACTCAGGCACCTTTCTGATGCACCAAAGTGTCGAGAATACGTTTTGTGAAATAATGTTAGACTTCATTCTGGCCTAAAAATCCCTAATTCATCTTTTCTCAAACAGAAACCACATCTTTGTTCTCACCTGATATCCTGGCTCATCCAACTCTCTCTCTAAATCCTCCAGCACAGTCACCACCTCTTCCCCACTCTGTGGATGCTGTTCCTGGACCCAAGCTTGGAGCTCCTCGGGCAGGATGGTTAGGAATTGCTCCAACACCAGCAGTTCCAGAATCTGCTCTTTTGTGTGTGTCTCTGGCCTCAGCCACTGATGGCAAAGTTCCCGGAGTTGGCTCAAAGCCTCACGGGGTCCAGATGTTTCCTGGTAGCAGAACTGCCTGAAGTACTGTCGGAAGACCTCCCTGCTGTGGGTGGTGTTCTTTTGCACGTTCTGATCCTGTCTGGCGGTACACTTATTTTCCTCCTCCGCCTCCTCTTCCTCTATCTTTATTTCCAAAAGTTCATCTTGCTCCTTGTTGGCCTGGATGGACCAAGTAGATGCCATCATAGCTGTGCAAATGCTTATGAATGCTTCAAGCAAGATCTCCTGTGCCGTCTCTTTCTGGCTGGAACTGAAGAAGAAGCCATCATCATTAACACAAACTACACCAAAAACAAAAACTGCAAATTCTAAGAATTTAAAAATGCACTTTGAAAGCCGCCTCCAGGTTAATTTTCTATACGCAGGAAAATACTCTGATAAAAAAGACTCAAGAATAGACTAATTTAAAGAGAAATATTAAGTAAAAGGTGCTAAGTTGTTTCAGGACTCTAAGAAAGAAAAGTAAGACTTGGTAGGAAACATTTCCACTTGATGATAGAAAAAAGAACAATTAAACGGAAAAAACAAACATTTACGGCAAACAATAATAAAAAGTTGAGACATCCTTGATTAGCTGCTTTTTAAATTTTTTAAATACCCAGATGTCTGGTGGAAATCATTTAGTCATAAAAGCAGCAAAGTCACATGAATTTATTCCCTCAGGAGCCTAATCTCTCTGCTCCTCATTCTTCATTTATCAAGCGAAAAGCCTGAAGACATTGGTCTTTAAGACTTTCTTCTACCCTCGCGTTCTGTGATTTTAAATCTAAAGGCAGGCCCAGGAAAGAGGCCCTAGGACGCCAGTCAGTGTCTGCGACCCAAGACTGTTCAGAAATGTCAGAAGGCGCATAGTTCAAGAAGGGTACACAGCGCGAGACAAGCCCGGGAGGAATGGAGCGCACAGCCCGGTCTCTCCTTCATCCCCGGGCTCCGACCCACTCTCCGAGGGATTGGGGGTCGGGGCTAGCTTCCGCGTCAAGGAGCTTCTCGCGGATCCACCTAGGCAAGTGAGGCCCGGAGGCCGCCCCACTCCAGCCGGGGCCGAGAAGGCCGTAGCACCCCCGCCTGCCGCGTCCGCAGCACAGGACCGCTCACCCGCAGCCCCAGGACGCCAGCAGCGGTTTCTCTCCGGGGACAAGGGGTTGAGGCCTCGAACCGCTCCGAAACCGGAACCCACCAGCAGCGACCCATAGAGGCCGGAAGAGACCGCGAAGTGCGGAAGACCGGTTCACTTCCGCCGCCGCTCTAGGAAGGGGGCGGGAGGGGCTCGCAAATTGGTAGATCTCCCGCGCGCCCATGTGAGAGGACAACTGAAGACTCACAGGCCCGCGCTTTCGCGATATTGTTTTCTCCTGCTCCTCTTCGGCTGGCTAGTATCTCCACTTCCCCCGACCCGATGGGCGGTCGAGGCTTGGCGAGCCTACCTGTGCTAGGGAAATCCCATGCTTTTTCCACTCTCACTTTTATTTGGGTTTCTGCACCTTTGATGTTCAAGATGCCTCAAAAGGATGTTTTCCCGAGGTCCTTCCTGACTCAGGAAGGGACCTCTTCCACACACACTTCTCAAGGGTCAACCTGGTGCTTTCTGCCTGCTTTTTCACCTTCTTCGGTTCTCTCTTATGCGCTGACGATAATTATACATCTGAAAACCCATAGGGTTCAATGGGAAAACTAAAAGATCATTTAGTAAAGTAGCAAGATATAAAATTAACACACTAAAATCAAGAGCCTTCCTATATGCAAATAACCAGTGATAAAGTTACAAGATATAATGGAAGAGAATACCGAATTTACAATAGCAACAACCAAAAAGCAAGCAAACAAACAAAACAAAAAACAAGAAGAAAGAAAGAAAGAATAATTGGGAATAAGCTTAGGAAAAAATATGCAAAACCTGTATGGGGAAAACCTCCTGAAAGGCCAAGTGTATACTTAGACAAATAGAAAGCCATATGCCAACAAGACTAATAAGAGTTTTGGCTCGAAAGACTCAATGAAGAAGTCAGTCTTCTAAAATAAAAGTATCGACACATATTGTTCTAGAATTAGACAAGTTGGTTATAAAGTTGATATGGGAAAATAAGAATAGCCACAATACCCTCTGAAAAAAGAACGGTGAGGGACAGCCTAAATTAGCACATGTTATAAAGCCTCTACAATTAGGAGTGTGATATTGTGTACAAACAGAAATAGACCTAGGTACCTATGGATATTTAGTAAATGATGGTGGCATCTCAAATTAACAGGGGAAATGACAGACTTGTAAATAAGTTGTGTTGGGACAACTGATAGCCATTTGGTCAAAAATAAAATTGAATTAATATCTCCCATCACACGGCACAGTCAGGATAAATTCCAAATGGATCCAAAAACCAAATGTAAAAAAATGTACCTATACTTGTATTAGAAGAAACATGAATAATAATTCTAATTTCCTGGGAACAGGGAAACCTTGCCTAATAGTGCCTCAATCTCCAAAAGCAATAAAAAATTAAATTTAATCAGATAAATCTGACTAAATAAAAATCAAATGAATTGGTTATCAAAAAACACCATAAAGAAAAGTCAGAAGACAAATGACACGCTGGAAAAATGTTTGCAACATATCACAAAGGACTAATATCCCTAATATATAAAAGATTCCTAAAATAGTTCCTAAAAAGAAAATAGCCAATAACCCAATAGATAACATGGGCAAAAGAAATGAACAGTTGACAGAATAAGAAATTGTAGCAGCCCTCAAATGTCTGTAAAGATGCTCAGCTTCATTCAAAATATAAACATACAAACTAAATACCGAGGTGCCATTAGTCATTTTATCTGATTGGCTCAAATCCAGAAGTTTGACAATATACTCTATTTATGAGGAAAGAGGAACTCTTATACATTCTCAGTGGGAACACAAAATAATACAACCCCTATTTGGAAAAATAAGAAAATGTAGCAAAAGCACTTATGTAAGTTTACCCTTTGCCCCTGCAATACCACTTATAGAAATCCATCCCAAAGACATATTAACAAATATATGAAATGACATGCATACAAGGTTATTCGTTCAAGTATTCAAGCTAAAAGACTGGAAACAAACCTAATGTCCATCAATAGGTGACTGATTGAATAAACTGCGGCATAACTACCTAGGCAGCTATAAAAAGAAATGAGAAATCATGATGTACTGCTATGGAATGACTGACAGGTGCTGATAGCATACTACCTGTGGTAGACAGAATAATGACACCCCTCCCCCAAGATGTTTACTCCTCACCTAATCTCCAGAACGTGTGAATTTATTATGTTACATGACAAGGGGGAATTCAGGTTGCAGATCAAATTAATCTAATTCTATTCAACTGATCTTAAGGTAGGTTTTCTTAGTTGAGAACCAACTTGTTTTGTTCTAATAAAGCTTGATTTCTGGACACTGAAGTTTGAATTCAATATAGCCTTCTCATATCACAAAACACTACACTTCTTTTGGTTTTTTTAATTAAATTTTATTTTAATATAATTGTAGATTCATATGCAGTGTAAGAAATAATGCAGAGATCTCATTTACTCTTTACCAAGTTTCCACAAATAGTAATATGTTGCAGAACTATAATACAATGTCACAACTGGAATATTTACATTGTTACAGTCAAGATACACAACATTTCCACCACTACAATCCCTTTTATGAACACATCCACTTCCTGCTCACTCCCATCTTCTCATTAACTACTGGCAACCAGGACTCTGTTCTCTGCTTCTATAATTTTGCCATTTCATATTTGGTTTTTTCATCTCTGTTTTCTTCTCTTGCCTTCTTGTAGGTTACTTGAATGTTTTTTAAATTGTATTTTAATTTATCTATAACATTTTTGGTGTATCTCTTTGTATAGCTTTTTTAGTAGTTGCTCTAGGTTTCATATCATATAGACACAACTTAGCACATTCTATTGGTGTCATCATTTTACCAGCTTGAGTGAAATATAGAAACCTTACTTCCCTTTACATCCCTTACCCTCCCCATTTATAATTCTTTTAAATATTTCCTCTAAATGTATTTAGCAACACATTAGACAATGTTATAATTTTTGCTTCAACAGTTAAACATAATTTAGAAAAATCAAGAGAAGGAAGCTTATTGGATTTACCCATATTCCTTCTTCTTTCCTGATTCTTCTATTTAGAGAAATTCCTTTTGCCATTTTTTAAAGGTAGGTTTCCTAGTGACAAATTCTATGTTTTACTCATCCGAGGATGTCTTGATTTTCTCCTTTACTCCAGAAGGATATTTTCACCAAGTATAGGATTCTGGCTTGACAGTTCCTTTCTTTCAGTTCTTTAAAAATACTATGTCAATTCCTTCTGGTCTCCATTATTACTCATAAGAAATCCACTGTCATTTGAATTTTCTCCTATAGGTAAGATGTCATTTTTCTCTGCTTTCAAATCTTTTGCCTTTGTGTTTGGGAAGTTTGACATGACATGGTTTGAATGGATTTCTTTGGGTTTATCCTGTTTTCATTTTGATCAGCTTCTTGAATCTGTAGGTTTACATCTCTTGCCAAAACTGGGAAGTTCTCAGCCACTACCTTTTCAAGTACTTTTTCAGCCCCATCCTCTTTGGGACTTCAATGACATGAACATTACATCTTTTCTATAGTTGCACAGGTCCCTGAAGTTCTTTGTATTAGTTTCTTTTGGCTTCTATAACAAATTACCACAAACTTGTGTCTTAAACACAACAGAAATTTATTCTCTCACAATTTTAGAGGCCAGAAGTCTGAACTCAAGGTGTTGTCAGGGCTGTGTTCCCTCCAGAGACTCTGGGGTACAGACCCTGTTTCTTGTCTCTTCCATCTCCTGGAGCTGCTTGCTGGTCATGCCTCGGTGTTCCTTGGGCTCGAGGCCACATCACTCCAATCTCTGCCTCCATCTTTCCATCACCTTTTTCTCTGTGTCTAATCTCCCTTTGCCTCTCTCTTATAATGATATTTATTATAGCATTCTGGACCACCCTGGATAATCCAGGATAATCTCCTTGTCTCAAGATCCTTAACTCAATCACTTATTTTGCCATATAAAATAATATTCACTGTTCTGCAACATAAGGTAATATTTATAGGTTCTGGTGATTAGGAAGTGAACATACCTTTGAGGGGCTATTTTTTCAGCCTACTACATTCTGTTCCCTTATATATTTTTTTCTCCAGTCTATTTTCTCTCTGTTGTT